AAACGATCGGTCTGTGCAAGAAACTGAACAGTATTTATATCGTTTTTTACCTCTGATTCACCGCAATGTCCGAACTGTCCTGAGCACTCAAAATGGACCATGGACACTCTATCTACAATCTCAATTAGGAGTGTCAATGGTCCATTTGAGAGATAGGTGGCGGTTATGCACTTATAAGTCTGCGATCCACCGTAAAGCAAGAAGAAGACGCGCCACGCGCCGGTTGTCAAGAACGTGCTCAGGACAGTTCGGACATTGTGGTGAATCAGAGGTAAAAAACGATATAAATACTGTTCAGTTTCTTGCACAGACTGATCGTTTCGTGTCTTTACACATCGATGTATCGTCACGAGACGCAGGGTTTAATTTGGGTTTTTTTTTTGTATGTTTTTTTGACTCTCAAAGCCGTGATTCCCATTCACTTCCATTATATGACTGACAGACTGCAACGGTTTGAGTTAAAAATCTTCGTTTGTGTTCTACTGAAGAAACAAAGTCACCTACATCTTGGATGCCCTGGGGGTAAGCAGATAAACATCACATTTTCATTTTTGGGTGAACTATCCCTTTAAGTATATCTTTAGTTGGACTTCAGCACCACTTCTGCACAATTAAAGTGCATTAGGGACGAAGATTAGTTTACAATTTAGCATACTTTTAAGTATACCCGTTTAGTATACCAAAAGTACAATACAGGGTATTTTTATCAAGTCCATAAATAAATGTATTGTAGTATTTAGCATGAAATAAATGTATTTCAAATACATGTTAGCATATTTATTTTTCACTAGGGTAGAGTCAGCTCCATAGTATCCCAGTATTATATCTGCTGGACTTTTTTGACTGCAGCACTGGAACGATAACATTCTCACAAGCAGCAGCCTCCAAACACAATAAACACTGAGAGAGGATTTGTTGGTGCAATCAAAAGGTTACATTCAGTGTTTCAAATAAGCGAGATTTAGCAACGATCTGCCAAGGTTTGATCAGGGGGTCTGGTGTGAGGTGGCTGGCTCCTCCTCAGTGTAGCAGAATGATGAGGCTTTAGCAGGATCTTGGAAGGAGCAGAGACTCTGTGTAGTAGTATCTGTGTTTTGTAGCATGTGCTGGTTCGGCTGCTCAAGCTGCCGTTGATTTGTTAGCTTGTCCTTGGCTTTTGAGCTTAGCGTGAGACCTGGTCATTGCCAATTACACAACATACACTTACTGGTCCAGAATCGCTATGGTTCTCAAAATCAGGGTTATTATACTAAATTAACAGTGTTGGGAAGTTACTTTGGGAATGTAATAGATTACAGATTACAAGTTACCCTATTTGAAATGTAATAAGTAGTGTAACTTTCAATTACTTTATTAAAGTAATGTAACTGATTACATTTGGTTACTTTTGGATTACTTTTCTAAATTTCCCATTATTAATTTTCAAACATTTAATGCAGGCAGGGTTAACCTTACTGTAGCACTCAACACTGATTACTGTCAGACCTTCATATCACTTGAATTAAGATTATAATAATTTAATTTTAAAGCACAGCCACCACAAAATCAGACTTTAGCACCTCTTTTTACTTTGAGATCGTTCTGAGGTTAAATACTGATTTAAAATCATAAGGTATAGTTTAATAGCTATGGTACTGTTTTTTTTTTATCAAATCTTTGCATAGTTATGACAGGAGACACTGGCATCTAACAATGCCTTGGAAAAAACAGTTAATCTTAAAAAAAAATACAAGTTATTGAATATGCATTTGTCCTAAACGCCTGAAACATTGGAGCCTCATATTTTTTGGGAAAGAAATCAATCCAATCTCTGTGTGAGAAAATATTCAGATGTAATCCTCCTTTTTAATCGTTAACATTTTCATAAGTTTTCATATTTTTTCTCAGTAACTGTAAGAATAGTTTTATTTTGTAATTAAATTACGTAACTCCGTTACATGTAACTAGTTACTCCCCAACTATGTAAACTACAGCTACAACTGAATTTTCCTTTTTATTTAGTCTATTTCTGATGTACTAACAAACTAAAACTGAAATAAAAATGAATGAAAAGTGCATAGACATATAACAAATAATAAAAAAAACTGACAAAAATCATAAAATATTTTTTTTGTAAAAAATTAAATAAAAAAAAAATCCATAAAAAATTATTTTAAATCAAGTATAAAAACATTCCTTATAAATAATAAAAAAAACTGACAAAAATCATAAAATATTTTTTTTGTAAAAAATTAAATAAAAAAAAAAAATCCATAAAAAATTATTTTAAATCAAGTATAAAAACATTCCTTATAAAAAAGCTCATTTTCATTAAGTTGGCATACTAAAACCGCTAAAATTAACTTTAAAAAAAAAAAGAATAACCATGTAAATATTACAAATGATTTAATAAATAATATAAAATATATAAAAATGACAAACAAAAAAAATACTAAAACTTTAATTTTAAAATGAAAACAGAAAATATAAAATATTAATAAAAACTGTAATGGGATCTGTAATGTTGCTAAAATAACAAAATCAAAGAAAGAAGTGGTTTGGCTACGAGTTTCTTGACAGTATGTCGGAGTAATTTTTCACATGATTCTGTGTGTTTGCTTGCAGGCCTACCTTCAAGTCTTCATGATATTCTGCCATCTGTTACTCAGGTTCATCCTATACAGTTCAAACAAATCACACTGCACAGAAGAGATGAATGTTTATTAGATTTGTCTTCCACCAAAGATTTAATGTACAATCTATACAATCACATCCATTTCCAGCAACACATTTCAGGCCTCTTACAAAGGTTCAATGTAAGTGACCGTGCCTTTGTTTGAGCAGCAGTTCAGCTCACGGTTTACAGTTAACTGAAAGCACGAGCATCTGACAACAGTGTTAATTGAACAGATGCATTAGAAAGCCAGAAAAATACTGGTGTCCGTTTGGTGCCGACATGACTGCACACATAGGTGAAACATTCCTGACAGTAAAGACAGCGTGTTAATAATAAATAAAGCCACTCAAGTAAACAGAAGAGAAAAAGTGGCATGCTACAGTGATTGAACAGTCACCGCTCTCATCTCAAGCTAACGGAGTGAAGTAGAGCAGCTCAGAGTAACAGTCCTGAGCACCTGAAGGTGCACACAAACACATGCCTTTACTCTCCACTAAAGGCATCGGACAAAGCGTCATGTTGGATGAAAAGGTGCACTGTCCGCGATGAAGAAAAGGTGGGATGTGAGGGAATAAGCGCTTCTCAGGGGACAGAGAGACGTCATCATATCACAGATAGCACAGGTACTGTTCATGTATGTACATGCATTTTCATGATGTATATACATATACATGCAACCCAACAATGCATTTGTTAAAAAAAAAAAAAAAACACATCCAGACTTCTAGCCATAAACAAGTTATCTTAGAAACTAGAAAGTCATTCGTCCTTCCATTTGACAGCCCATAGCAGAAAAACACTGTCAAATTTACAGTAAAATACTGGAAAGCCAGAAGTTGTCAGCCACTTACCGTAACTGAATTATTTCAGAATACAGAAAAATACTGTATTTTTAATAATATAGTAATTTACCAGATTGCAATTTTGTGGTAAAATTACAGTATTACACCGGTAAATGCATTTGGTAAACGACCGTATTGCTAAAAAAAATACAGTATTTGTCTATATTCCGTAATTACAGTATATAACTTGTAATTACATTACAGTAAGAACACTGTCAAAATGACAATGAACTGGCTGGCAGGCACCCCTGTCTCCAGTATCTGAGTGTAAATGATCCAGCTGTTTCTCCTGCAGAGTGTGTGCCAGTGCAGGCCTTTCTGTAGAGGGGCCACATTAAGGTTTTTATCTGGAGTCTGATTTCATCTCAAGCTAACGGAGTGAAGTAGAGCAGCTCAGAGTAACAGTCCTGAGCACCTGAAGGTGCACACAAACACATGCCTTTACTCTCCACTAAAGGCATCGGACAAAGCGTCATGTTGGATGAAAAGGTGCACTGTCCGCGATGAAGAAAAGGTGGGATGTGAGGGAATAAGCGCTTCTCAGGGGACAGAGAGACGTCAGGGTCTGTGCTGTGCATTTAGGTGAAGCTTTCAAAGTAACACACTTTATAAATCTGAATTTAGTCTCACTGTCCATGTTTTTTTTTTTTTTTACTTTGGAAGTTGATTAATTTCTTCAGACAGACGTGTCGGCTTTGCGAGAGATGTAGAGAGAGAGAGAGAGAGAGAGAGAGACTGGCGTTTTCTTCGGCGGCGCGTCAGTCTGGCGTTTTCACGTTTGCCGAGCTCTCTGTGCTCAGCGTGTTTAGCGTTTCCGGCGTCTCCGGTCTGCAGGTTTGACTACTCCTCTGGACACACGCTGCGATCTTTACAGCAGAAGTAGTGAACCACCACACCGTTAGGATACCTGGCAAAGGCACTGGACACAAAGACACAGAAATATAAATATGCATACAGTAAACCCCTAAATCATAGAGTGAAACTACACACTTGTTCAGTGGCTTGTTTTTGGATGGGTCTTTCAGATTTGTTATTTAAAGGGGTCATATGACGTTGCTAAAAAGAACATTATTTGGTGTATTTGGTGTAATGAAATGTGTTTATGCGGTTTAAGGTTCAAAAAACACATTATTTTCCACATACTGTACATTATTGTTTCTCCTCTATGCCCCGCCTTTCTGAAACGCGTCGATTTTTACAAAGCTCATCGGTCTGAAAAGCGAGGTGTGCTCTGATTGGCCAGCTATCCAGTGCGTTGGGATTGGCCGAATACCTCAATCGTGTGACGGAAATGTTACGTCACGTGACATTTCTGGAACACGCTCTTAGCAGTTCGCCAATCACAACGCACTGGGCCAGCTAACCAATCAGAGCACGTTTTGAATTTCAGAAGGAAGGGCTTCATCGAAACAGGAAGTAAACAGGGCGTTTGAGACAGACTGGGAAGAGAGGTGTTGCACTAATGTAAAATATATGAAAAATAATGCGTTTTTGGAACAATTAAGCATGAAGACCTATTCTAGTACACCCCAAAAACTAAATCAGGACTTCGTAAAAGGGCATAATAGTGAGCTCTGAGGTTGCTAATCGATGGTGCCGTATTTTCTAGAATATAAGTTGCTTTTTTTATAATCTTAAACATGCTGTAAATTATATTCTAAAGCGACTCATATATGAATGCAACTATAATGTTTGTAAACATTTAATTCACCAATATTTGACATTTATTAATGTAATAACATGCATCAACGATAGGGCTGCACGACTATGACAAAAATCATAAGTGTCGATTATTCCCTTGAAATAGTAATTGCGATTATTAATTACGATTATCACAATTTACATTGAATGATGTTTATACCATTG